GCGGTTCCGGGCGGGGACCCAGCCCCCCGACAAGGGTTCCGGCGGGATAACGACCGCCCGGGCCCCCGGGGCACGGACCCAGTTCCGGGGCCTGCTCAGCACCGGTCGTCCGTGGACAGAGCCGATCGCGACCGTGTGCTCCGCGCGCGCTGGTGTCCCCAGGGCCACGCTTCCACCCGCGAGGGAGCGGGAGAGGGTCGCACCCCGGCCCGGGACGGCCTGAGGACGGAACCGTGCCCTCCCACCCCGCTCAGCCCCAGGGCTCTGCAGGGAGAGAACGACCTGGACAGAGGCTCCTGACCTCGCTGCCCCCAAACAGTGCCAGCGAGCGCCTGGCGCCCAGAGGCACTTTAGTAACGACTCAGGTCTCCCAGCTTCCTCTCCACGGCGTGCTGTAGTATTGATCGTTTCCAGTTGATAGACATTTTGAATTTCATGAAGTTTTGACTCCTTTCCCTTTGCAGAAAGAGGAAAAATAAATCAGTGTTCATTCCCCCCAACAACTCTGTCAGGCCAAGTGGCAGCACTGGGCCTGAGCCACACCTGCCAAACTCCAGGTCCCTGCGGTACCGTCTGTAGCTTGCAGCAGGAGACGTGGGGACCAGTGACACCCTCAGGCACCGTGTACCAGATGGATGGATGGAGTTAGACGGCAGGAGCCATACTCCCCGGGTTTGAACTCCAGCTCCGCCACTTGCTAGCTGTGTAACCTTAATAAGCCTGGGCTTCAGTTGACTCATCTGTGAGATAGTTGTGCATAATAGTATCTACCTTGAGAAAAAAAAAAAAAGAATAGTATCTGCCTTGTAGGGTTGTTATGTGGGTTAATTAAAGTAGGTAAAGCACCTAAAATAGTGCCTGGCGCATGGCAACAATAGGTGTTAGCTCTAGCACTTCTATTACGTGTAACGGGATTCACCTGATGATCCAACAGCCAAGGACATCAGGCCTGCAGCTTCCCACCTCCAGGGCCGCCATTCACATTGTATTTTATATCCTCATTATATTTTATATATGTTTATATAAGTGATATCCCTGGGAGTTGAGCAATGTGGCGGTTCTGAATAGATGCCACGTACCCCACATTCCAAAGACAGGCAGGGGATCACTTATTATGGAGGACTTGCAAGAAGGAAACCTGAAATTGGATTTTTGTGCCTTTAGCGGATCCCCACCTTAAACATGTGGAAGGCTTGAAGGTGCCAGTTTGAGAAAAGGTTTCTCTGAGGGGAGTCGTTGAAGCGCTGTGGCGTTTTTTTCTCCCTCAGAGGAGAGAGTGTTTAACAGGACTGCTCAGAGAACTTTTGAGCTCTGGGGTTTGGGAAGCAGAGCCATGCTATCAGCAGCTGTGGCTAGAGAGCCCCAAGGTGGCAGGGCAGCAAAGAGACAGGGAAGGAGAAGCCGCTGTGGAAGCAGACCCCATCTCCAACAACCGAGGGGGAAACCTGTGACCTTTTCCTCCTGGGACTAACTGGACCTTCGGAGAATGGACTTGAAGCTATCTGCAAACAGAATGTGCCCAAGAGAGCTACCTAGAGAAGCTAAATGATGCAGCAGACAGACAC